TGATGCTAGCTTTTGTTGGCATTACATTATCTCAGTTTCATCTTAAAGTGCTTTCCTTGTCCTTATGGTATACCTTCTGTTAAATGTGAGCAGATCCTAGAGTATCATCCACACATGCTGCAAGAGTACCTTCAAGGCACAGACCATACTGGCTTTATGTATCCAAGGTCAGGAACTCAACTGTTTTTACTGCTGATGTTTTAATATTTGCAGAAACAAAAACTGCGGAACCCTTGTTTAGGTGCCATGCATGGTTGTGAGGATATTGCTAGTTACCTAGAAACCCTTTGAATAAACCAAACATACGGTTGACAACTATGTCAATAGTCATTAGTCTGTAGATGTATCACTTGTTTACAACTTAAATATGATGCTCTCCATAGCAAAAGGTTCTTATTGATAAGATAAAACCGTCACCAAACATGCAATGAATTTGATAAGTGTATGATTAACAATAATGTTGAAAGCTTTTATCCCAAAGAAATGAAACAAGTGTAAACATATATGAGATGTTTCTCCATACCAAAAGGTGCCTCTGTAGAAGGAGACTCCCATCACCTGTGGGCTTTGGCATTGAAATTGTTAAAGCTGTAGATAGCATTGCTTCATCATTCTCATGGATCACAGTACCTTTAAGTGTTCCCATTACTGCATCATTTGTCATGTCCACAGGTCAGTTATGGTATTTTTCTTGTCAAAACCCAAGTTCTGACAGTCCACTTCAATTTGCAATACGATTTTAATTTGTTGAAACTTACAAAATTATCAGATAGGACTATGCCAAATGGAGATCCGTTTAATTGCTAGTTTTGTGCATTAAGGAAAATTATGAAGAGCACTTTGGAACTTAAGAAATCTAAGATCTTCTTGGCTTCGTTTGGTTGGTTTTTGGGAATACTACTTTTAGTATTCCCAAAAAAGTTAAACAGTAAACTACCCAAAAACTCACAATATTATTCAATTTTATTCAACTTTTTTTAAACCCCCTAATTTGTTAATTTAATTAAATACCCTTAAATATTTTTTTTAAAATTGCAAAAACACCTCAACAATCCACATTTACCAGATTTCGGCCACCACTGCTGGAAAATGACCGGAATCTGGTAGGATGGCGCACTACCTGCTGAATCTGGCTGGTAGTGCGTTGATCTAGCCTTTTTCGGCCAGATCCACGCTGGATCTGGCCGGAAAATGTCAGATCTAAGGCCAAAGATCTGGCCGTTGGCCGTAACCAGTCGGTAACGACGATCAACAAATGGTTGTCGTTGACCATCAACGACGACCGTTTGTTGGCCGTCGTTGACGAGCAAATACGGCCAGATCTGGCCGTCAATGGTCTGGTCGGAAAATGCTATATTGGTTCACGACCGGCAAGATCCAGTCGGTCATGCGCCGATACAGCGACTCTGGCCACCCTCCGGCGGTGGTGGTCGGCTATCCGTATTTGAGGATGGGTTGGGAGTGTTTTTGTTAACTTTTAATGTTTTATTATAGGGGGTGTTTTGTAAAAAAACAAACATAAGGGGTATTTTATTAATTTATAAATCCTATATCGTAATACCCGTCCAATTCAACTTTTTTTTTAACTTTTTTCAAAAAACTTTTCTCAAAAACACAAAATTGTGAACCAAATGGAGCCCTTGCCTTCTAGTGAGCATATTTAGTGTCTAAGCAAATCTTAGCAATAAACAGTACTTTTACTGCAACATAAATTTGAATATAACTAGTTGCTGTTTCCTCTTTAAGAATCGTTTTCTGTATTACGGCAGGAGTGACAATAAACTAGCTAAGTTGATCGTCGGGTCTAGAACTTGGCATCTTGTTATCTCCTTACTTATTATCATCTTATTATTTCTAAGAAGAAATTATTGACTACCAACTATGGTTTTTTATCAACAGTGGTATTGAACTGTTTAAGCGACAGTTTGCCCGTCTTGAGGAGCAGTATGGTAAAAGAGAAAGAAGCATCCCACTCCAAAGAAAATATACTTCCTTGCCAAGGTAAAGTGGTTAAAAGGAAAAAAAAAACCCACTGCATGCATTATATCATTTTTGGTATACTGATTGTTTTCCCTTTGTTTGTTACAGGGAAAGAATCAGTTCCGATGATGAGTCCACTGATCTAACTGATCTTACAAAAAAGCGAACTGCTTCTGTTACTCGGGCAACTCTTCAGAGCCCTCCAAAGTTGCAGGATTTTGCGGATTTGAAATCTGCTAACAGAACTGCTTCTTTGCAGAATGGCTCTAGCCATCGAAAGTGTGGAGCCCTTTTGAGGAGTGATAGCATTAATGCTTCAAAGTGTGTTGATGTGAGCAAATGAGAGGCTCCTCAGTTAGCGGACAGAGACAAAGAGAAAGGTACCTAATAAATCATGATCCCTCAAGTCTTGGAAAATTCTTCTGCAAGGAAGTTATGTTATTGTTAACATATATTATTTTATATAACCATTGATGTAATTGGATCCAGCCAATCTCTACAGATACAATTCTCTTATCATATTTTTAGAGAGAAGGTGCCACCTGCAGCTATCCCTCCATTTAATGACCTTACTTCCAAAATTTTTGAAGATGATTAACAATTCTACAACTAATTGTAGACTAATTTGTTAACCTTCAAATGTTGTATTATCTTACTTTATATGATTGAAATTTTAGTGGTAGGCTCTCCAAATAGCTATATTGTAGTATGCAGCTTTTGTCAATATGTGTTTGAATGAGATTTCTATTATTCGTCCAATAAAGTTTTAGGCGAACAGTCAGGTATATGGTTCACTCTCAAGTTTCGAATTCGAGTTTGTAAAACAAGGTCGAGAGATTTTTGGATTATGACTAAAAATGATTTTTACAACTACTCATTCATCGTAGAATTTATTGCTGATTAAATTGAAATAGATGTTGAAAATTTGAGACACGACTCGGTTAATGGTTTTTGCAATAGTTTACTTATCTACACTGTTTTAGATACAATGGAATGGGATTTATTTATTACCATTGAGAAGGGCATTAGGTTATACAAGAAGAGTGATTTTAAGTTTCAGAGTGAACCCTAGAAACTCGACGACAAAGGCTCCTCTTGATCATTGCCAAACACACCCTTATCAAGAACCCAATCCTCAATCATTGCCTGAGAATTCAATGGCTGATCAACAGGCTTAAGGTGCCCTGCTCCCAACAGAACAACATGGCTTAAACCTCCCCGTTTGTGCAGATACCTAGCAAGCTCTTCATCCACTCGCCAAGCTTCTCTCAGCCAACAAGAACCTCCCGATTCCTTCCCATTTCGTGCTCTTCATCCACGCCATGAGTTTCACACTCTTCATCAAATCTTCATCTAAAGCTTCCCCTACAATTGCACTACATTCTTTGAACTCTATCTGATGCAGGAGCAAAAAGAAAAGAGAAATAAAAAATTATTATGTTATGTTGACTTTTGTTTTGTCTGACGGAAGAGAAGTAGCCTTAACTTTCATTTAGAAGTCTATAAATAAAATTTTGCTTTGTCTTTGTAAGTATTTCTACATATTATCCTTAACTTAGTCAACCAAGGTGACCTTTTGATTAATCTTGTCACAGTGAGGTTTATTCTAACCTCACCACAATTGGCATCCATAGTGGAGTTTCCAACCTCGCCAAGATTGGGGTTTCTCAACGTCCCCGGCGTCGCTATCCCTTATTTGGTTCCCAAGGCATCTTTCACCTCTTCTATCCTCAAAAACTTGGTCACCAAACTTGTTGGGTAAGGGATTTTTCTTGTAATATCATACAACGTGGCTAAAGCTGTCATGTTTTGCAACAAATTCAAGACCCCACTTCTTGTATTTCTTGCCTCACTCCATTTCCCCATTTTAACTAACTTAACTGCCTCCCTTTCGCCTTTCTGCAACTAGCTCTTTTGCCTCTCATTAATCAGACCTGAAAGGTAAGCATTTGAAGCATGAGTTGTAACTTGAGTTACTGGGTCTATTAAGCTATTAGCCCATTTTCAATCGCGCAACTCCTTGCAAGTTCACTCTTTTTGACTCTTGCAAATGCAAATTCTTCTTCAAAATGTAGTACCCAGTTGCAGGAATGTACTTTCCTGCATAGCTCTCACCAGTGACGTAATTTGGTCTGTTTTTAAACAAGGGGTCTGATTTGAGAAAACCCGTGATCGCTGCGAAAAGATGCTTAGCAACTGAGATTTGATCTCTGGGGATTTCTTCATCGTTTGCAGCAAAACTAAACCCAGTTCCAATGGGATTGTCAAGAAAAAGAAGGCCGAAGATGCGGTTCCAAGAGCCTGGGTTCGGTTCAAGGTGATGGTGTTTGACGTTTTGCTTGTGAGAGATGTTAATGCGCCAAGGACCAAGTTCAAGAAAGTTACCGATCATGGAAGAGCAGCCCGGTGTCAAGGGCTGAGTTTTTGCTTGTTGGGCCTTTTGGGCCAATTAGGCCTTGTCTTTCACGGGCCGCCCTGCAGCCAATTGATAAGTGGGTTTGGGACATGGGTGAAGTGGGTGGCTATAAAGAAAGTCTTAGGGACCCCTGAGCCTTGCGAGTGTTTTAACTTTAAAGTGGAAATTTAAGGTGTAATTTATAAACGGAAAGCATACTTTGACATGAATTTGAATTCCTATAATGAATTACTACCATGATTGATAATTGTTAATTTAATATATGTGTAATAGTTCTCCATTAGATGAGCTTATAAATGATAACTTAATAGAACTTCATTAAATGAGTATACAGATGACGTGATATATCCATCTCACCAAAGACTTTTTAAAACCTTGTAGGTTATTAGAGTAGAAAAGTTGAACTTGAACTTGCACATGAACTAGAAGATAAAACTGAGCAGTGATTGATTAGCCAACTATACTTGTGAAAAATGTGCCTTTTGGCTACAATTAATCTCTAAATAATACATATGAAATATTGTTTAGGGATAAGGTAATAGGTGAACTTCTTAAGAGTAAGTTATCCACAAACTCTTCTGAACAATATAGACATAAACAGGGAAGCGTAAGAAACCAGTAAGACTGCAATGTGATCTCTTAGATCTAATCTAAACCAAGTTCGTAACATCCAAGGTTCCAATGTACAATAAGAACAAAAAGAGAATTAGAAAGAAAAGTGGCAGTGACGCGCCAGTCCTGGCTTCACAAACACTAGAGCTTCAGGTTTTCTATGCTGCTACAAGATAAATCCAATTACATCCATGGTTTTAATTCAATATGTGTACAAATAATTTTTCACTCATTCATTTCGCAATAGATTGGTAGTTCCATTCTAGCCACTTCCGTCAAGTTGCCCGTGAGAAAGAAGGTGTGCCATGTATTTCTGCAAGCACCAAGAAAAGAGAAAACTTTTAAGAGAACATTGGAGTAATGAAAATCTTATTTGATGCAGACTCAAATAACTACCACCCCCAAACTTATCATATACGTACTATGAATTTACATGAACTGGAAAACATCCTAGTTTCTTCCACAATAGCGATCAGTATCTTTATCTTTCAGCTCAAAACCAGAATTCAGTAAAATTTGATTGGAAAATTAATAGCAATCTAACAAGCACATGAATACAGTGCAGATGTATGAGTGGATTTAAGCTGTAGGATTTGGTTATAGGTTTGATTTAATGATTTATTATGCTCCAAAAGAACTGAATAGGCCACTCCCTCAATAAATCAGATTAATAAACTACCCAATAGAAGAATAGAACTTCTCAAGTTTAAAAGTTTTCCAGGAAAGTAACTGCATGTTCAAGTGCAAGCAGTCAATTCATGATATACAGGTACTCAGGCTCAAATCTCAAGTAAGCAAATTGAAAAAGATGCTGACCTCGATTCATGACTATTTCTCACCATTTAGAACATAACCAGAGTTCAACAAACAAGGTTTTGATTTTCATTCTCATTGAAACTGTTGAATAGAAACTATCACTCCGAGGAATCATTCAACCCAAATACACAAAAAAGAAACAGAGCAAAATTGATCATGAGTTGATAGGCAGGTAGTTCTACGCAGAAGGTATCGAACACCTGATACTATAACATTGGAATTAAGCATATCCATGACATTTCATATGGTTAACTGTCGATTTTAGTCTTCTCAATATATACAATGATCCCAGTGATAAACAACCAGCAAAGAGCACACATGAAAAGAAATGATAGTCAATTACTGGCATTCTAAAGCATACCGAATGATAAGCATAAGGTGATTTCCCTTGCCGCTCAAAGTGTTTAGCCATGATGCAATACTCAATCGGACCCCATTCCTCCGTTTCGAAGCAGTTGCCAAGCGCGGCTTTGTATAACTACAAATCCATCAAAGACACAAGATATCACATCAAACACCAAACAACTGTCAAACAAACACTTGAAAACCACAAAACAAGACCTTTTAAAATTTCAAATACTCACGGACCTTAGTCGAGTCTGTTAAAAGCTCAGTCCCAGCTGGGTATGATGCATAAAATTGATCACCTCGAGAATAACCAGCCCTAGTCCTGCAACACCAAAACCAAATAAACCCATAAAAGAAAATGAGTAAAAACAATAAAAACAAAACCAAAAACAACATTGACAACAAAAACAACAACAAACCCACTTAAAGGAGAAGGCAAAAACAGCAAAAGAAAGAAATCCACAACAAGAAAAGACCAAAAATTAATTACCCACCATTGAAAGATGCAAGAAAACTTACGTGTTGCTAGTGTAAGCGTAGGTCAAGACAGCAGTAAAGCAATAGAATACAGTATAAGATATCACTCTACGAAACTTTTGAATCTTGAGAATTTCCCGGAATCCATCGTAGAGCATCATTTTGTTTAACGGTATTCAAAGATATCACTGAAATTGCAACGTTTTAAAAAAAGTCATTATTCAGACATTTTATCGAACAGGTTATTTGCATAAGCTCCGGCTTAATACGTACCCTTTTTACTCTTATAGTTACCGAATCAACGAATAATGCCCTCTAAATATAAAGAGGGAAATGCGGGATGCAAAAACTGAGTTTTGGTACAAAGTCATGTGACAGTTGTCACACCCGTTAGTTTCACACCAATTTTTTTTTCTTTTTTCACATAAACTTCCTCTTTCTTTTCATAAACCAGTGCTATGACAACTACCACATCATTTTATACAAAGACCCTTTATAAGAGTTTTTATATATTTAGTATTTCTCATATAAAAAACCTTTTAAAGGTATAAAAACCTTTTGTAACCCAACGGTAAGAGAGAAAGGTGCTCAAACTATAATCCCAAGTTTAATTCTCGACGATAATATATTTTGTACAACCTCAGAATTGTTACTAGTACCAATTAGAGTTAAACAAAGTAGAGGGATTTATAATTTGAGAAATGTTAAATGTATAAAAACTCTTTGTACAAAGTGATGTAACGGTTGTCATATCAACTACCTCATCATCGGTTTTCACATTACCTGTCCTCTTTCTTTAGTATGTTATTTTTCTTTTCCCTCAATCTTCTCTCCGTTTTGCAGATATTTTTTTTTTTAAAACCTAATTTTTTGTCCTGTATCATTGATTTTAAAAAAAAATTTCTCACCATTCTTATCTCCACTATCTTCTTTCTCTCCTATCTCTTCTTCTATTTCTTTTTACTTTTTTTTTCCCTTATATTTTCTCATGGAAAATTCTCTCTCTAAATTTTTCCTATATTATGCTTCACATTTTCTCGGAAAATTTCATCTCTAAACAAATAATATAATGCTAGTAAGCAAGTTTGTTCATAACCAAATTCAAACTCTTTAATCCTGGAAATACATCCCCTAGAAACCCAAGAATATTCCTTGAAACATTAGCGAAGTTTGCTGAAAACTTTTGCAAAGTCGTTGCATTTGTTAAACCCACAGAAATCTCTCAAGACTCAAAGGAATTATAATCAAGGCTTGCACTTTGCAAAGAAGTTGGCGCATAAAAGAAATCAAAGGGAAATATGAAAAATTGTTGTTATTAAAAAGCACTTCTTGAAGATAGATCAACCCAATAAGAGTTGGGATAGGCCCACTCTGTTTGTTCTTCATCACCTCAAGTATAGTCAATGAAGTTAAATTCCTAAGGTGAGCTGGGAGAATTCCTTTCAAGCCTAGTAAATTTAAATCTTGGTGATTTGATTCTCTCTTCCATCTCTACACTCTGTTTTTCTACATTGTTTGTTTAGAGATGAAATTTTCTAAGAAAATGTGAACCAGAATGTAGAAAAAATTTAAAGAGGGAATTTTCCTTAAAAAAATGTAAGGGAAAATAAAAAAAAGGGGAAAAGGAAAAAGAAATAGAAGAAGAGGAAGAAGATACGGGAGAGAAAGAAGATAGAGGAGATAAAAGAGTGGAGAGAAATTTTTTTAGAAAATCAATGATAAAGGAAAAAGGAAAATATTAGGTTTTTATTTTCTTATATCTACAAAAGGGAGAGAATCTTGAGGGAGAAGAAAGAAAAGAAAGAAAAAAGACTAAAGATCAAAGAGAGAGGGCAATTGATGTGACAGTAATCACATAAAGACTCTTTGTACCTTAACATTTTTCTTATAATTTATTCAACATATATAAACATCACAACATCATACAATAAAAACTACTAATTCTAGACTGATCTCTTTTAATTATAAAATTCAATAGATTTTAGAATATCCATTAAGATGTTTGAGACTTAATGAGGTACTTAAAATTTAACAATATCTCATTAAATTGATTTTATCTGAGAAAGCAAAATGAGCTAAAAGATGTTTTAATGTTCTTTTTTATTTTTTCAAACTTACAAAAGTTGAAATGAAATCTCTCTCTTTGATATCAAAAGATCTTGTATAACTTCTAGAGAATTAAACCTTAACCTTCATTTTAAATTCATAAAATAAATATTTTTATAGTCCTTTTTTGTTAATCATACCAATTGGAGTTAAATAAAACAATAAAATTTATAATTGAATAATACTATATTTCTCAAATGAAATTTTAGATTTTTCATCTTAAATGATATGTCATAAAAGGTATTTTATTCAACCCACATAAAATACAACGCACATAAAAGACTACAAATCCATACAAGAAGAGCAAATTCTAGACTGATCCTGTGAAATTGTCTGACAATGGCTGCTCTAAATCATTGCCAAACACACCCTTTTCAATAACCCAATTCTCAATCATTGCCTGAGATCTCAATGATTGGTCAGTAGGCACAAAATGGCCAGCACCCAACACCACAGCATGGCTCAAACCTCCCCATTTCTGCACATAACCAGCAAGCTCTTCATTCACCCTCCAAACCTTTCTTTCAGCCATCAAAAACTTCTCAATTCCTTCCCATTTCATTGTCTTCATCCAAGCCTCAGTTGACACCAACCCATCTCTCAAATCAAAGAACCCTTGATACAACAACACCTTACTGTTCTTCACCAAGAATTCCACCATGTATTTCACACTCTTCATCACATCTTCATGCAAAGCATCCCCCACAACATCACTACATTCACATTTTATCGAACAGGTTATTTGCATAAGCTCCGGCTTAATACGTACCTTTTTTACTCCAGTTACCGAATCAACGAATAATGCCCTCTAAATATAAAAAGGGTAATGCGGGATGCAAATCTTGTAATAAGCGATGTTACTCAAGTGATGTGATAACTGTCGTATCATTATCTTCTCTTCTTCTTTATAAACTGATAGTGTGATAGTTATGACATCATTTTGTATAAAAACTTTTATAACATTGTTTTGTATAAAAACATTTTAAACATGTAATATTTTTTATATAAAAAACTTTATAAAAGTATAAAAACCTTTTGTAGCCCAACAGTAAGTGCAACCTGTGTGCAAACTATAGTTCTAAGTTTAATTCTCGATAATAATACATTTTGTACAATCTCAAAATTGTTACTCGTACCAATTAGAGTTAAACAAAACAGAAGGATTTATAATTTGAGAAATGTTAGATGTATAAAAACTCTTTGTACAAAGTGATGTAGCAGTTACCATATCAACTACCTCATCATCGGTTTCCACATTACCTGTCCTCTTTCTTTAGTATGTTCTTTTTCTTTTCCTTCTCTTTTTTCTCTCCCTCAATCTTCTCTTCGTTTTGCTGATTTTTTTTTTTTTTAAACCTAAATTTTTTTTTTCCTTTATCATTGATTTTTTAAAAAAAAATTCTCACCATTCTTATCTCCACTATCTTCTTTCTCTCCCAGTCTCTTCTTCTATTTCTTTTTACTTTTTTTTTTTTTTACTTATATTTTCTCATAGAAAATTCTCTCTCTAAATTTTTCCTATACTATGCTTCACATTTTCTTGAAAAATTCTATCTCTAAACAAACAATATAATGCTAGTAAGCAAGTTTGTTCATAACCAAATTCAAACTCTTTAATCCTGGAAATACATCCCCTAGAAACCCAAGAATAGTCCTTGAAACATTAGCAAAGTTTGCTGAAAACTTCTGCAAAGTCGTTGCATTTGTTAAACCCACATAAATCTCTCAAGACTCAAAGGAATTATAATCAAGGCTTGCACTTTGCAAAGAAGTTGGCACAGAAAAGAAATCAGGGGGAAATATGAAAAATTGTTGTTATTAAAAAGCACTTCTTGAAGAGAAATCAACCTAGCAAGAGTTGGGATAGGCCCACTCTGTTTGTTCTTCATCACCTTAAGTATAGTCAGTGAAGTTAAGTTCCTAAGGTGCAGTGGGAGAGCTCCTTTCAGGCCCAATAAACCGATTTAAATCTTGGTGATTTGATTCTCTCTTCCATCTCTACACTCTGCTTTTCTACATTGTTTGTTTAGAGATGAAATTTTCTAAGAAAATGTGAACCAGAATGTAGAAAAAATTTAGAGAGGGAATTTTCCATGAGAAAATGTAAGAGAAAATAAAAAAAGGGAAAAAGGAAAAAGAAATAGAAGAAGAGGAGAGAAAGAAGATAGAGGAGATAAAAGAGTGGAGAGAATTTTTTTTGGAAAATCAATGATAAAGAAAAAAGAAAAATATTAGGTTTTTATTTTCTTATATCTACAAAACGGAGAGAAGATTGAGGGAGAAGAAGGAAAAGAAAGAAAAAAGACTAAAGACTAAAGAGAGAGGGCAAATGATATGTCAACTGTCACATCACTTTGTACAAAGACTCTTTGTACCTTTAACATTTTTCTTATAATTTATTCAACATTTATAAACATCACAACATCATACAATAAAAACTAATTCTAGACTGATCTCTTTTAATTATAAAATTCAATAGTTTTTAGAATATCGATTAAAATGTTTGAGACTTAATGAGATACTTAAAATTTAACAATATCTCATTAAATTGATTTTATCTGAGAAAGCAAAATGAGCTAAAAGATGTTTTAATGTTCTTTTTTAATTTTTTCAAACTTACAAAAGTTGAAATGAAATCTCTCTCTTTGATATCAAAAGATCTTGTATAACTTCTAGAGAATTAAACCTTAACCTTCATTTTAAATTCATAAAATAAATATTTTTATAGTCCTTTTTTGTTAATCATACCAATTGGAGTTAAATAAAACAATAAAATTTATGATTGAATAATACTATATTTCTCAAATGAAATTTTAGATTTTTCATCTTAAATGATATGTCATAAAAGGTATTTTATTCAACCCACATAAAATACAACGCACATAAAAGACTACAAATCCATACAAGAAGAGCAAATTCTAGATTGATCCTGTGAAATTGTCTGACAATGGCTGCTCTAAATCATTGCCAAACACACCCTTTTCAAGAACCCAATTCTCAATCATTGCCTGAGATCTCAATGATTGGTCAGTAGGCACCAAATGGCCAGCACCCAACACCACAGCATGGCTCAAACCTCCCCATTTCTGCACATAACCAGCAAGCTCTTCATTCACCCTCCAAACCTTTCTTTCAGCCATCAAAAAGTTCTCAATTCCTTCCCATTTCATTGTCTTCATCCAAGCCTCAGTTGACACCAACCCATCTCTCAAATCAAAGAACCCTTGATACAACAACACCTTACTGTTCTTCACCAAGAATTCCACCATGTATTTCACACTCTTCATCACATCTTCATGCAAAGCATCCCCCACAACATCACTACATTCATCAAAAACTATGCTTTCTTTGGCCCCCAAGGCCTTTTTCACCTCTTCAATTTGTAAAAGCGTTGTCACCAAACTTGTTTGATAAGGAATCTGCTTAGTGTAATCATACAATGTGGCTACACCTGTCATGTTTTGCAGCAAATTCAAGACCCCATTTCTAGCATTTGTTGCCTCACTCCAATTCCCCGTTTTAACTAACTTAACTGCCTCCCATTGAGCCTTTTCAATTTCACTCTTTTGCCTCTCATTGATCAAACCTGAAAAATAAGCATTTACAGCATGAGTTGTGATTTGGGTTTCTGGGTCTGTTAATCCATTCCCAATTGCAACTCCTTGCAAGTTCACTCTTTTTGACTCTGGCAAGTTCAGATTCTTCTTCAAAGTGTAGTACCCAATTGCAGGAACATACTTTCCTGCATAACTTTCACCAGTAAAATAAACCGGTCTAGTTTTAAACAATGGATCAGATTCAAGAAACCCAGAAATCGCTATGAAAAGATGCTCAGCAACGGAAAATTGATCTCTTGGGATTTCTTCTTCAGTTGCAGCAAAACTAAATCCGGTTCCAATGGGATTATCAACAAAAAGAAGGCCAAAGATGCGATTCCAAGAGCCTGAATTGGGTTCAAGGCCAAGGTGTTCGACGTTTTGCGTGTGAGAAAAGTTAACCCGCCAAGGGCCGAGTTCAAGAAAGTTACCAATCATGGATGAGCAGCCCGGGCCGCCCTGGAGCCAAATGAGAAGTGGGGTTTGAGAGAGGGGTGAAGTGGGTGTCTGTGCTTCATAGAAGGTGTAGAAAATGGCTGAGCCAGTGGTGGAGTTCACCGGAAGGTAACCGGACCTGGTGGGAAGGGCTTGTTTGGGGAGGAGAAAAGGGGGTGATAAGCATGAAATCTGGTGAAGGAAGAGCAAAAAGAGAGGGTTGAAAAGCAAGTAAAGAATTGTTTTTGAGTTCATTTTAGCTTTGAGGAATTGAAGTTTCTGGTTTGATGACTTTGATCAATCCAATATCATCAATTCGTACGTGTGAGATGACAAAGAGTTGCTTTTATGATTTACTTTACACTCTTGCATGATGCAGAAAGTGACGTACTGACGTGCATGTGGTGTTGGGACAATGGAATGGAGATAAAACTGTAACATCACACACAGTTTTTAAGTTTAATTTTATTTTAAAAGTGTTTGATTCGAGGCTTTTGATATAAAGTTTGAGTGTTTGACAGATAAAATATAATTTCACGCATGAAAAGATAAAAACAGAAGAAATTTTTTTTTTATTTAATATGTTGGATTAGACCCATTAAACCTACTGATTTATAAAATAGAGTAATTATTTCAAGATCTTATTAAGTGAGAGTCATCTCTGTCTCAAATTCTGTGATAACATGCAACAGAAAATATTATTTAATTAATTATAAATGGTCGTCGTCTTCATCAATAAGAGAGATCGAGACACAAAGATGAGTTTATTTTTTCTTAAGGAAGAGATTACGTCAGTACATCTAAATATCCCCGGCCCAGCCCACGCAGCCTGGGGTCAATTTAGAAAGTGCAAGCCCGGACCCAAGGAAAAGTCCGAGTTTTTATTACCTTATCATAGAGCTGGGCATTTGGGACTAGGTCCAAAAGTCCAGCTCCAAAACCCGGATCTAGGACCGAGCCTAGGAGGTCTACTCCCAAAACGGGACCTCGGAGGTCTACTCCCAAAACGGGACTAGGCCTAAGGAGGAGGGCCCTCCTCCAAGGCCCGGGCCTGGACCGGTCCCTGACTGGGCCCAACAAATTTTGTATTTTTTCAATATAATCCCCTACCAAATTACATAAAACTCCCTATTAATTTTAAAATAAATATAAATTATGAGGGCTAAAATAAAATTTTATAAAATTTATATAAAAAAAAATCTTCCAAGTCTATAAAATTTATAAATTTTACCCATAAAAAATACTAAAAACCCCTTATAAAATTTTGTTTTGCCCCCAAAATATAAAAAAATTGAGGGGGCAAAAAAAATTATTCAAGCCCATGGGACCAGTCCCTACCAAGCCTAGTCCGGATCCTAATTTTTCTCATCCAAACAGGCCCAAGCCTAGTCCTCTACTTTATCATGAGGAGCATCTCTATCATGGGCCTTAATCAATGATACCTGGGCCGGGCTTCGTATAGCCCGGGTTTTAAACATGCCCGGGGCTTAGATACCCCAGACCCGGGCCAGATAAAATTTACAGCCCTTATATGCTTAATTATTCTTCAATCTTCAATAAACATCTTATTTAAATAGGTTTTAAATTAATCATTTGTTATAATCAGGGCTTGTTAAAATGAAATTTAAAAATAATTTCATCATATTTTAACCTGTTGAATTATAATTTATGTAATTATTAATTAGTGTTTCAAATTAAATAAAACATTTAAGTTATTAAAACCTGATCCATTATTTGTATATAAACTCTCTAACGAGGATTAATTATATTTTTTCTTTTATGTTAAGGATATGTACTTTTAATATTTAGTACAACTTATTTAAATTTTGTTTCATTTTAGACTTGCTTTTTGGTGTTAAATCGACTATAAATAATTAAATATATTGTTTTTTAGTATATTGCATAATTTTTAAAATTATGCAATATTAAATCACTAAAATGTTTGTTACTATTTTTATTTTTAATAATGATTGATAATTAGGAAAAAGGGTGTTGGTGCGGGTGGTGCCTAATAACTGCCTATACTTTACCTCTATAGATAAAATAATAATACTATCTATCTCAAGTTTGTATCCCATGTGATATTAATTAATTATTTTCATATAATTTATCATCTTATTTTATTTTTTTACCTGAAAATAACAACTGATATAGTGTTACATTAATGATATTTTAAAGTTGAGAATAAACGTTGAGATATACTTATCTATTATCTTATAATAGGAATAAGATTCACATAGCATAATTTCCTTTTTCATTAAGGGTATGCTTGGGAGTTTTTTTTTTTTTTTTTCACTGGTTTTGGAGGGTTTTTAATTACATTGGTTTTGAGATGTTTTAAAATCATTACTTACCAGATTTTTTATGCACTGGTTTTAACTGGCTTAAAAACCCTCTAGAACTAGTGTAGTGTATTTTTTAGGGGTTTATAAAACACCCCAAATCGGGATGTTTTGGTTGATTTTAAAATTTTATTCCACAAATACCCTATCCACTATAAAACTATTTCAATTATATCAAAAAACAAAAAATTTAATCATATTATTCGCGTCTCCAACCATATTAAATATAAAATAATTTTAAGCAATCATAAAAAAAAATTATTAAAATCTCATTTTTAGATGCTTTCTTGGAGAAGTTGAGTTACAATTTTTCAATCATTCCAGATGCTACAAAGAATGACGAAGAAAAATAAGAAGACTTTATCACATTTGAAGTTGTAAAATACTAATAAATATAAAACAAATAAAGAAACTTTACCTTGTAATTGAAAAAACAAAACTCCCAAGTATTGGTTAAAGTTGTGGTATTTTTATGGGCATATATGTAAATTTATCATTTTAAAAAACTGTCAGAACTGTTGGAAAATAAACTCCCAAAAGCAAGTTGGGTGTTTCAAAAACCTCTATTAAAAATCCCTCAAAACCGTTATAGTGGTTTACCATCAAAACCGCTACGGTGATTTACCTTTAAAACCACTACGGTAGTTTACCCTCAAAACCACTCAAGTGATTTACCCTCATAAACGCTATTATGAAACTCCTAAGCGGACGTTAAAAGAACTTGTTTAAAAAAAATATATACTATTAATACACAAGGTTATTATCATAGTAATAATTTTTTACAATATTAAAAAAATTAAACTATCGTTTACCAAATCAATGATAATAACCCCAAATTTTAAAAATGAAATAAAATTGATCAATAATAATTTAATTTACTAAAGTCATATAACATTTCTTAGTCAATACCATCAAAGCATCTAGTCAAGGATTCAACCATATATTATGAATTGTGTCCACACTTGCCCTAATAATAGTCAATATACTTTATGTCACAACTATAAAATTCCACATTTTGTGTCCAATCAATGCACCCATCACCAAAGTCCAATTTCTCATCCACTTGTTAAGAACAATTTACTTGACTTAAAAAGTCATATTTATTCATAATATTTTTAAGTCAATACTATCCAAAGTTCTCAAACATTAGTAAACGTTAATTAATAATTACAAGAAATTACCATTTATTTTAGCATAAACGACTTTTTCGCACCCAAGGCTTCCCTTAATGACACTTTTCCACCCAAAAAGTTTCAAAATATCAATTTCTTACTCAAATTTTATATTCCGTTAATACTCAAAATATACTTCACTTTCTCAGCTGACATTTGATGAGTTACTAAGAGCAAGGATAAGAGGAATTTTATATTGTGGAGGCTGGTGAATTGAATGATGGTGATCAATTGAAACTTCGTTGTCGGAATCAATCAGAAATCAGCTAAGAAAATGAAACCCCAGCTTTGTGGTGACCGAAAATCAGCGAAAAATTAAGTGTTGAAGTGAGAGGGATTTTACAGAGAGGAAACCAAATGTTCAAATGGTGGTGGAGATAATTTTTGTCACTGAAATCAGCTTTGGATAGTAACGAAATATTAACTTTTGATAGGAAAATGATGTTTTGAAACTTTTTGGGTGAGAAAGAGTCATTAAGGCAAACCTTGGGTGGGAAAAAGTCGTTACTCATTATTTTTATAGAGAATTTTGATTAAAAAAAAAAAAAAAAATCATCTTGTATCATTATCCAATGCTAGTTAATGAGTTTATCAATTGTTCTGCTCGTGATTTTAAGAAACATTTATGTTTGGCATATGCCTATTTGGATTGAGATCATTAGAGATGATTTTGTACTACAATTTAGTAGGGGAACTTTAGGACACCCGTGTCGAAATATATCGAGTAACTCTAAAGCATGTGTAATAGCTCTTTATTGTACCAAAAAAAAAAAAAAAACGAAAAACCTTCTAATGTTTTTGTAATAACAAAAATTCATTTGTCATTAATAAACTGTTAATAAAATATTTATTTTAACACTTAAAACGTAACGAAAATAGAATTTTTGTTATTTCCGAAACTTAGGAGATTAATGTCATTAGACTCAATATAAAACTAAACACAAGTCTTTCTTCGTAGTTTCGTCATGCATGGATTCCGGTATTACAATTTCCTCAGCCTACATTTTCCATTTCATTTCGTGTTGGAAATTTGGGATATAAATAAATAAAAATTTAGTGTTTACTTTAAATAGAATAATAGAATAAAGGTTTAAAAAGTTAATCAAATGGGGGGTTATATCAGTGCAGTATAAGTGGACGAGTTTCTCGATATTTTAACAGTATCTATCTCGTCAAAATGAGGTTAATCTTAATCAAGCATCTTATTTTGATATTGCATGCATTAACCGTCAATAAACTTCATCACAATTTGAAAAGTCAACACTATTTTGTCTACAAAAGCCACCAATTCTACAAGAATTTCCATATCACAAACCCAAATCAAAGGCCAAAAACTCCTCAAAACCAAAATGCAGTTAACCACCGCCGTCGATGTGCTCCTCCTCTTCACTTCCCTTTACTTCATTTCATCCTCTTCATCATCTCCTCTCTTCCCCAACGAAGCCCTCCCCACCAAGTCCGGTTATCTTCCGGTGAACCCCGCCACCAGCTCCGCCATTTTCTACACCTTCTACGAAGCACAAACACCCACTTCACCCCTCGCAGAAACCCCACTTCTCATTTGGCTTCAGGGTGGCCCTGGCTGCTCGTCCATGATTGGTAACTTTTTTGAACTTGGCCCTTGGCGGGTTAACTCTTCTCAGAGTCAAAACGTCGAAGACCTTAAACTTGAACCCAATTCTGGCTCTTGGAACCGCATCTTTGGCCTTCTTTTTCTTGATAGTCCTATTGGAACCGGGTTTAGTTTTGCTGCAAGTAATGAGGAGATCCCAAGAGATCAACTTTCTGTTGCTAAGCATCTTTTTATAGCCATTAATGGGTTCCTTGAGTCTGATCCCTTGTTTAAAAACAGACCTCTTTATGTTACTGGTGAGAGTTACGCAGGAAAATATGTTCCTGCAATTGGGTACTATATTTTGAAGAAGAATTTGCAATTGCCAGAGTCTAAAAGGGTGAACTTGCAAGGAGTTGCAATTGGTGATGGGCTAACAGACCCAGTAATTCAAGTTAACACTCATGCTTTAAATTCTTATTTTTCAGGTTTGATCAATGAGAGGCAAAAGAATGAAATGGAGAAAGTTCAATGGCGGGCTGTTAAGTTAGTCAAAATGGGGAATTGGAGTGCGGCAAGATATGCAAGAATTGAGATTTTGCAATTGTTGCAAAGCATGACTGGTTTACCCAATTTGTATGATTATAGCAAAAAGGTTCCTTATCAAACATATTTGGTGACTAGGCTTATGAATATTGGTGAGGTTAAAAAGGTCTTCTGGGCCAAAGAAAGCATAGTTTTTGATGAATGTAGTGATGTTGTTGGGGATGCTTTGCATGAAGATGTGATGAAGAGTGTGAAACACATGGTGGAATTCTTGGTGAAGAACAGCAAGGTGTTGTTGTATCAAGGGTACTTTGATTTGAGAGATGGGCCGGTGTCAACTGAGGCTTGGGTGAAGACAATGAAATGGGAAGGAATTGAGAAGTTTTTGATGGCTGAAAGAAAGGTTTGGCGAGTGAATGAAGAGCTTGCTGGTTGGGTGCAGAAATGGGGAAGTTTGAGCAATGTTGTTTTGTTTGGTGCTGGGCATCTTGTGCCTGCTGACCAGCCACTCAATTCTCAGGCAATGATTGAGGATTGGGTTCTTCAAAAAGGCTCGTTTGACAATAGCCAATAAGGCAATCTTCATCGAAATTTATTCTCATGTCTAGTATTTTAAGATCACTCCACTAGTTTTTTATTACTCAAATTTCTGGCAAAAGTTCAAAATGAAGGCACCCAACTCATCGATTGTATAATTTTGGCTCTTGTATTGGCATTATTTGGTGCTTTAGCATCAAAATTATAGATAAAAATAAACTCTTTTCTTTCAAAAGCTAATTTTGCCTGATTTTTGCTGAAAAAACATCAAAATTTATGGAAAGAGAGCATGGATTATGATGATGTAATGGCGTTTGGAGGCGGGTTTGTGAAGAGAAAATGGTGGGTGAGTGAGATTGCTCCCACAACAACCCAACAAAGCACAAAACCCGTACTATGATGCCATGAAAATTTGATGTTTTGGGCTTCAAAGGCAGGGCATCCTGCAGAAAACCTGCAGGTTTTTGAGAGCCATTGATTTGTTTTGCTCTCCCCTGTTTGCCTCCGCCCATAACTCTCAGGAACATGTAAAGCTTTCTACCATTTGAGAAAAATTTAGAGAAACTCGATAAGGGTAAAGGAAGATAATACAAAACTCTGAGTTCAGTAGCTTTCATGCAGCTAAAAAATACAAGCGGTTGCGAAAGCTCTGGACAGAAAATGGCTGCGACTGAGATAAACCCTAGATCGAGATCTCAGCTTTATATAGACACAGTGCAGAGGATAGGGAAGGTTGATCACGTGAGCTCTCACGTGACATCAAAACAGATCCGAATATCCCAAATGAGTGTAGACTCTTTTTTTTTTAGTTTGAAATAACATTTTAAAATTATTTTATATCCTCAATTAATAAGTTTAAGTTTGAAGATTGAAATTATGCATAAATTATTATTATTTTTAAGATTTATTTTTATTTTTATAAATCTTATGAAATCTTATTTAAATACTCAAAAATATATTATAATTTATGTTAAAAAAATAATACAAAATAAATAATAATGCTCTCAAATTTATCTGAATATTCAGTATCTTTTTTTTCAAAAAAATATAATAAACTATAACTAAAACTACTCAATTTGTATTAATTTTTAAGTTTCAAATACAAAGATGTGAAAATTGTGTTTAAACTCATTTGCAAAATGAAAAACAAATAGTCAATTTGATTTATGATTTAAAAATAATTATAAAAATTAAAATACGATTCAAACTTTCGAGTTATATTTTAATATTTGAAAATATGTCTAACATAAAATTTAAAAGCTATTTTAGATTTAAAACAATAAAAATTTGTAAAAATAATTTTTAATCTTTTTTAATTTTTCACGAATTTTTAAAATTGTATTTAAAAACTATTTTGAAAATAATTATAATCATTTTTCATTTTTATAAGATTCGTTGTATCTTTGTTTTCAAAAATAAAAAAAATATATTTAAATTATATATCAAGCTAGAACAATAACATTTTCACTGTTTTAAAAACAATGATGGAAAACTTTAATACATTCTAACTTTCTTTCTCATTTTTAAAAAATGATTTCGAAAACATTTTTGTTCAAATTTATTCAAACGTTAGTTCATTACCACCCAATTGCCACATAAACCCAATTACTTCAGCTTCTTGAAACTGAATCGACCCGAACTTGACCCGTTTTACAGTGATGTTAACGTCTCCGGCCTCTTGATAAGTCTCCTCTTCTTCTACACTTGCTCTCATTCACTCTCCATCGAAATTCACAACTCAAATCCGGTCCGTTTTTACTTACTCTTCAGCTTTTTCTTTTTAAATTTTCTCGCAATAAATTCAAAATTTTCCGTCCAAAAACTTGAAAGAATTTAAAATTTTTCGATTCAGTTCATTAATTTATGCTCATTTTTTCAGCAGGTTATGTTGTTTAGGCATGTCCGAATCTTCCAGTGACTTCGTTTCAAATGGCTCTTGCTATTGCAGTTACACAATCATGTGGCTTGGTATTTTTTTATTTTTTTTTTCATTTTTCGCATTTTTATCAAGTTTTTAATGCAGTGAATGAGTTTAATTAGCAATGCTTTTAGTGATCAAGGAATCAATTTTTTTTTTTTTTTTGGGTTGTAGTGTTTGAGTAGAAAACAGTTGAGAAGTGTTGTAGTCTTTGAAGCTAAGAGAGGATACCGGAATGTTTTCGGTAGAAATATGAGGTAATTTGTGTGATATTTGTCATTTTAGACGCAGAAAAGTTACGGTTTTTATAATGCCATGGGAAGTGAGATTCGAGTTTTTATTGGTAGTGACTTTTGTTTGAAATTGGCTTTACTTGTTTCAGGTTTAGTAACTTCCTAGTATCTAAAGTATCGAGAATTTGTTATCGATCAAAGCATAAACATGCTGAAAAGTTGCTGGTGGAAGTAGTCAGATATGACTCGAAAAGCTTATCGGGTCGGTCTAAATTGTTTAATAAGGTAAATGTGTATGTATGTCAATTGGCAATGGTGTACTTGCTATGTTGATTGTTTATTGCAATAAATATTGAAGGTGAACGGATTATTTTGTTTTATCTTTTAAATTTCTTGTATTTTATTGTAGGTGCTCTTAAGATGAAATTATATTTTTGCTTTATTGAGTACACTCTCTGTCAGCAAAATGTGATGTAGTTGAAATCCTTAGGTGAAATAGCATGTTTTTATTGTTTTGGTATTTCTGTCTTCATTTATGGTTCTTCTGCTTTCTGATTGTATCCACTGCATGACTTGTTAAGGTCTCCAGCATTGATTTTAACTAGTACTGTGGCCTCATGTGATTCTGCTTCATATGTTAAGTCTCTGAAAAATTATAATATAGGTGCATTCTCTCATGTATTCTACTTCTTTGTTAGTTTCTTACTTGTCTCATCTATGTTATATAAATGGATGAAGTTGTATTAACATCATTATCTTAAAAATATATGGATGTGAAGGTTTTCGGACATAATTTTTTTAGCCAGACAACTTTTTTGGGGAAATATAAGTCCAATTATTTTCTATAAGTAGATGTTTGAAACAATGAGGTGTATGAAGCATATAACTCCGAGATTGTTAACACCTCTAACATCCATACGGTTTCAGTGAATATTAATGGTGCATGCATAAAGAGAAATTAAATGCCTAGCTCTGAATCTGGTCAGGGCCAATATAGTTATTCTAGTGTTTCTTGGTTCATAGGAATAATTATTGCTGTTGTTCTTGTTGTTTTATTATTATTCTTTGTGATTAATCTTCAGAGTTGTTTTCTGGGTGTTTTATAATTCCTAATATCAAAGTAACTGTTAATAAATTGCACTTTGGTTGCCTATAGGTACCAGTTCTAATGGGTTATAATGGTTTTAATGATTTAATTGAGAATGGAGGAGGTGAAAAGCAATCTGCTAAGAATCTTAAGGATGCTATGGATGATTTTGATGTTTCCTTGGCTTGTAAGAGGTTTCCATCCATCACGTTGGGTAACTCTCCTCCACTGGAGTTGTATGATGAGACCAAATGTAGCTCTGAAATGAGTAATCTTTTAGCAGCTCAAAGTGCATTTCTCCGCGTTTCTATGGGTGAGAATTGGGACATAGATCTAGATAGTTTCTCTGAAGCATGGCCTTCTCTGTGCCCTGGCCCTCCAAATGTGATATCTTCCATTGTTGGGGAAGAAAATTCAATTAATTTGCCTTTATCTTCTCAGTCCATGCCTCTGAAAATTGAAGAAAATTCAAACATTCCGGTTACTGTGGAGGAATCTTCTTCCAGTAAGCTTCAATCTCCACCAAGTGCTGCACCTGTTGAGTTATGGCTTGAGAGATGGATTAGTTGTGTGCCTGGATTAAGTAAGAGGCTCCGTGGTCAGCTGGAAAACTGTGGCTTGCACACTGTGGGTTCTTTTCAAGATTGTTTAGAAATTGCCTTTTAGACTCTTCCATTTGGAAAAAGACTTGGTTTCACATTGTTCTTTTTGTTTCCATGCAGTTGCGGAAACTACTACACCATTTTCCTCGGACCTATGCAGATTTACAGAATGCACAGATTGAAATTGATGATGGACAGTACTTTATTTTTGTTGGAAATGTGTTATCTTCCAGGTAATTGGATATAACCTGGAAAATATACTTATGCTATGACAGTAGGCACAAGTGGTTAAGACTTTTTTGCCTGGTCTTCCAGATATTTTATAATGAATGTCCAAGGTATCCAGGTAGTCTGGTGAGTTGAGGCTCAAGCCAGAAGGTGATCAACTTTAGCTTCTATGTGAATCGATGGAAGTTTAAAGAAAGATGCATTTCAAAACAATGATCAAACAAGCATAAGGTCTTGTTGCTATTGATAAGCATGCATGCTTCTTTGACATCCTATGTTGATAAATGGAGTTTGATAAATGGGTGTTGAAGATTATCATAGTAACTGATGTAGGAAGTATAGGATAGGTCTAAGGTTATTCAGTCTTTGATTTAATTATCTTGGGGATTTATTTATCAAGAATATTTTTAGAGTTTTATTTTTTTGTGAGTTGTTTCAGACTTTATTTTGTATTTGATTAGAACTAGGAGTCTATTCTATAAGCCTAGAGAATAGAGGCTTCAGTTATTATTTTGACATGCTTAATTCATGAAATAAATATGATTATTAGTTTTCACAATGGTCTTTTTGGGTTGTAGTGTTTGAGTAGAAAACAGTTGAGAAGTGTTGTAGTCTTTGAAGCTAAGAGAGGATACCGGAATGTTTTCGGTAGAAATATGAGGTAATTTGTGTGATATTTGTCATTTTAGACGCAGAAAAGTTACGGTTTTTATAATGCCATGGGAAGTGAGATTCGAGTTTTTATTGGTAGTGACTTTTGTTTGAAATTGGCTTTACTTGTTTCAGGTTTAGTAACTTCCTAGTATCTAAAGTATCGAGAATTTGTTATCGATCAAAGCATAAACATGCTGAAAAGTTGCTGGTGGAAGTAGTCAGATATGACTCGAAAAGCTTATCGGGTCGGTCTAAATTGTTTAATAAGGTAAATGTGTATGTATGTCAATTGGCAATGGTGTACTTGCTATGTTGATTGTTTATTGCGATAAATATTGAAGGTGAACGGATTATTTTGTTTTATCTTTTAAATTTCTTGTATTTTATTGTAGGTGCTCTTAAGATGAAATTATATTTTTGCTTTATTGAGTACACTCTCTGTCAGCAAAATGTGATGTAGTTGAAATCCTTAGGTGAAATAGCATGTTTTTATTGTTTTGGTATTTCTGTCTTCATTTATGGTTCTTCTGCTCTCTGATTGTATCCACTGCATGACTTGTTAAGGTCTCCAGCATTGATTTTAACTAGTACTGTGGCCTCATGTGATTCTGCTTCATATGTTAAGTCTCTGAAAAATTATAATATAGGTGCATTCTCTCATGTATTCTACTTCTTTGTTAGTTTCTTACTTGTCTCATCTGTGTTATAGAAATGGATGAAGTTGTATTAACATCATTATCTTAAAAATATATGGATGTCAAGGTTTTTGGACATAATTTTTTTTAGCCAGACAACATTTTTGGGGAAATATAAGTCCAATTATTTTCTATAAGTAGATGTTTGAAACAATGAGGTGTATGAAGCATATAACTCCGAGATTGTTAACACCTCTAACATCCATACGGTTTCAGTGAATAGTAATGGTGCATGCATAAAGAGAAATTAAATGCCTAGCTCTGAATCTGGTCAGGGCCAATATAGTTATTCTAGTGTTTCTTGGTTTATAGGAATAATTATTGCTGTTGTTCTTGTTGTTTTATTATTATTCTTTGTGATTAATCTTCAGAGTTGTTTTCTGGGTGTTTTATAATTCCTAATATCAAAGTAACTGTTAATAAATTGCACTTTGGTTGCCTATAGGTACCAGTTCTAATGGGTTATAACGGTTTTAATGATTTAATTGAGAATGGAGGGGGTGAAAAGCAATCTGCTAAGAATCTTAAGGATGCTATGGATGATTTTGATGTTTCCTTGGCTTGTAAGAGGTTTCCATCCATCACGTTGGGTAACTCTCCTCCACTGGAGTTGTATGATGAGACCAAATGTAGCTCTGAAATGAGTAATCTTTTAGCAGCTCAAAGTGCATTTCTCCGCGGTTCTATGGGTGAGAATTGGGACATAGATCTAGATAGTTTCTCTGAAGCATGGCCTTCTCTGTGCCCTGGCCCTCCAAATGTGATATCTTCCATTGTTGGGGAAGAAAATTCAATTAATTTGCCTTTATCTTCTCAGTCCATGCCTCTGAAAATTGAAGAAAATTCAAATATTCCAGTTACTGTGGAGGAATCTTCTTCCAGTAAGCTTCAAACTCCACCAAGTGCTGCACCTGTTGAGTTATGGCTTGAGAGATGGATTAGTTGTGTGCCTGGATTAAGTAAGAGGCTCCGTGGTCAGCTGGAAAACTGTGGCTTGCACACTGTGGGTTCTTTTCAAGATTGTTTAGAAATTGCCTTTTAGACTCTTCCATTTGGAAAAAGACTTGGTTTCACATTGTTCTTTTTGTTTCCATGCAGTTGCGGAAACTACTACACCATTTTCCTCGGACCTATGCAGATTTACAGAATGCACAGATTGAAATTGATGATGGACAGTACTTTATTTTTGTTGGAAATGTGTTATCTTCCAGGTAATTGGATATAACCTGGAAAATATACTTATGCTATGACAGTAGGCACAAGTGGTTAAGACTTTTTTGCCTGGTCTTCCAGATATTTTATAATGAATGTCCAAGGTATCCAGGTAGTCTGGTGAGTTGAGGCTCAAGCCAGAAGGTGATCAACTTTAGCTTCTATGTGAATCGATGGAAGTTTAAAGAAAGATGCATTTCGAAACAATGATCAAACAAGCATAAGGTCTTGTTGCTATTGATAAGCATGCATGCTTCTTTGACATCCTATGTTGATAAATGGAGTTTGATAAATGGGTGTTGAAGATTATCATAGTAACTGATGTAGGAAGTATAGGATAGGTCTAAGGTTATTCAGTCTTTGATTTAATTATCTTGGGGATTTATTTATCAAGAATATTTTTAGAGTTTTATTTTTTTGTGAGTTGTTTCAGACTTTATTTTGTATTTGATTAGAACTAGGAGTCTATTCTATAAGCCTAGAGAATAGAGGCTTCAGTTATTATTTTGACATGCTTAATTCATGAAATAAATATGATTATTAGTTTTCACAATGGATTTTCCGTCTCTCTCTTAATTCTTCTGGTTTTCTTCCATTTCTTTCTATTTTCCCTAGTCTATCCTTCTTTATTCTATCTATCTTCTATATTTTCTCTATTTCTACTTTCCATTCTTTATCTCTGGTACTGCATCAGTAACTCATCTATAATTGTTGTTTACACTTTTACAAAACTTCTTGTTTACTGTTATTGGCAGGTTCTTATTCTTTGACTAACACAGTACATAAAAATCATGAGATTTGTGAGGATTAATGTACTCATTAGTATCAGCTTTAGCTAGTGTTCTATATTGTTTGTTATGTTTGTGATGTGAATGTAACTTTTTATTGTTCATATTTTTATTACTTCATCTCTATATCTGATGTACTATTCCTGTTATCTTAAATACATTATAGCTTTTAGCACATCTACCTTTCAATGCTTAGATTTAGATATTGTAAATTTTATTTGTGCGGTATTCATATCCTCTCTCTCCTTGTCACACACACACAAACACACTTTTTAACATTCAATACATATACGCACATGCCCTCAGATACTTCATCACTTATGTATAAACTATGTCTATATTAATTGTTTGGTTGTGCTCATAGTAACTTTGGAGATTTTTAATTGTGAATGGTAAATTTTTTTCTGATATTAATTACATTTACCATTTCTCATGCAGGGGAATGAGAGCTGGCTGTTCTTTTTCATTTCTTGAGGTGATTGTTGGTTGTGAGGTAGCAGACATCAAAGTAACTTCTGAAGATATGGATGACGATATTGTTGTTGCTAGTGATAGAAAAAAGAAAATTTATTTGCATCTAAAGAGATTCTTCCGTGGCACTCGTTTTACAAGCATACCTTTTCTTAGAAGCATCGAGGGAAAGCATAAAGTGGGAGAGTTTGTGTGTGTTAGTGGTAAGGTAAGACTTTTGGTTTTCATTATTTTTGGCTGCTTTCTTTGGCCTATGTGGTTTGATTGATATTGGCCTCTGTTGTTACTCTACTCATTTATTGCTAAAGTGATGCCATCAATATCTAACCTACTTCAATTCGAAAGTATTGCTTTGCATCACTCATTGTGAGTAACTATTGTTAATAGTGGATGCTGTTAATAATTATGATAGAAATGGATAAAGTTGCTTCTGTGTCAATAGGTCCTTGGAATGTCGATGGATGTTGGGTATTCCTGCTTGTATATTATTTCTTATACATTTTAATAGTTTAAGGTCACCTTTAGGATAAGATGCACACTACTTTGGCGTGGGCTTTATATGCAGTTTCTGTGATTGCAGTCGGTATCAAATGGCGTGATTTGGCTGTTTTACTAACCAGTGGAGTAGGATAGTAATGACTAAAGTTGTTATACTTCTTTGTTTTGTGTGAAAGGAATTGCATTTTTCTACTGGGAGTTTCATTTTCAGATGTTACTATTTTTATTATGTATTGTATTTTTGCTGTTTTGACTACATTTCTTTCATGACTCATATAAAAATGTTGTGCTTTCTATATAGGTGAGGGCTATGCGGTCTAAAGATCACTATGAAATGAGGGAATACAATATTGATGTGTTGAAAGATGAAGATGATTTATCTCTTCTTGCAAAAGGGAGGCCTTATCCAATATACCCATCAAAAGGAGGCCTAAATCCAGATATTCTAAGGGACACAATAGCAAGGTTTGGGCCTTAAACCTGTTTACAATTTGAAATGAACTTTCATGGCAAACCATCTCTTTTGTCTGAACATGATTTTGGAGTATAATCTATTCGCTCCTGAATCTAACATATTTTTATTTTAGCAGACAATAGAGCTTTCTCTTTTTTGCCTGTTTGTATTATTGTACAATATTTTCTAATTTATTTTCAACTGGTACCATTTGCCTGTGATACAAGATTCTCCTCATGTTCATCTGTGGTACTATTTCTCTGGGTATGTATAAGAAGCTGTTTAACTCTAGCGATTATTGTTTTTGGCATTAATTGTGGCTACTTTGCATGCATCTCTTGAGTTCGGGTATAAAGTAATGCTTATTATAATTATTGATTTTGATCAGAAACTCTTACATTTGGGATTTGGTTTCTTGAAGTACTAATTTTAATTATGATGGCATTACTTCATTTTTTGATGTAAGTGAAGTATTGCGCAGTTTGCTTCTTTCCATTAGAACTTATGTAAGGATTCTTTATAAGAAATGTTCTGAGTCTAGCTGAGCATTTTCTCTGGTGGACCCAATGGTCCAGAATGGTTTTTTGATGAAAAATAAACAAAGTTTTGATATGGAATATGATCAAGATTTCAAGTTGTTTAACCCCATTGCTAATGATTCGGTAGTAGCATTAGATAGATGAAGCCTACTCTACTTTTAGGGTTTCAAGATCAGGTTTGCTGATTCTTTCAGCCTAACCAACTTAAAATACTGGGTGTCTTTACTGTTGGTTCAGTCTTACCAAATATTTGACCTGGTTTGGTGATCAATACGTGAATTGAATTCTTAGAATATGCAATCACAGTTGTTTTTCACTTTTACTAGTGCACTTACTTTAGTATCTCTCAAGTGCAGGAATAATTATTTATGTAATATGCTATATTTTTCTCTATTTCTCCAGTGCTTTGAACGTGTTGCCAGTTAATTTTGATCCCATTCCTAAAGAAGTCACTCAGGAATTCAAGCTTCTGAGTCTTTATGATGTAAGTGACTCTGCTTCCAATTCTTTTGGGTCGGTGAATTTTGTGGTGTACCATGGAGGTGTGATGCAGATTGAAAATATGGTCATGTTTTGGTTATATGCAATAGAACGTCTTGATTGCATTATGATTTTCATTAATAAAAACTTAACAGAAAAAAAAAGCTTGGATAATCTTATCTCATCTCATTGAAATAATTTCTTCTTACTACCATATTGTTCATAGTCAGAATATATATTGAATTTTCTTTAGCTTTGAAATTTTATATGAAAATAAGGTAATAAATATGCTTTATGACCGTAAGATGGCTGTTTTGGCATTTTAAAATGTCATAATTCTGAAGCAAAATTTTGTTGGTAAATAGATGACTGACTATAAAGTTTTTGCTCAGTATGATTTGGAGAAACAATGTAAAACATAATGGACGATGGAGCATATTACATTTAATTGCATTACCTGCGTATACAAGCTTGTGAGGCACTATATGTATTTGTATGCATATCTGTGTTTCTTTTCGGTTTCTGTATTTTTTTCAGTATAAAGATATGGAATTGTTAACAATGCAGGCATATGTTGGAATTCATCAGCCAAAGCATATAGATGAGGCTGATTTAGCTCGCAAAAGGCTTATATTTGATGAATTCTTCTACTTACAGGTGATTGTGTTTCGCGTTTATTGTTGAAGATTACATAGAACTTGAGGTTGTAGTTTTATTTTTGTTCTGTTGGTCATCCCTTCTATATGGATTCTAATTTTTAATTTTTTTGTTGTTGGTTACATAAAATCCTTTTCCATTTTGATATCTTTGATCTAGTGTTTTTCAATATATTTGCTTGTAATTTTCATGATATTGTTCATTTACAGTTCAAAAAATGTATTCAGAAGTACAAACCATATCTGAGTTTAGTATATTTGCTACTCAGTGTTTTATTCTTTTGTTCTCTCTCTCTCTCATTTGTTTCACACTTTAGAAAAAATGAAATTTGATCATTTTATTTTGGAGGAGATGAAACTTCGTAATTTTGAATATAAACTCATTCAATGTGTTGTTCATTATAGCTGTTAATCATTAATGTCAACTTCATGGGGTTGACTGCATGGATTCATATTTCTCATTCAGGGTTATCTAAAGTTAAAGTTTCAGCTAACCTTTCAGCTTTGGAAGTGTATTAGAATTTAGATCTATTACATCAACATCAAGGGCCTGAACTCTCACAGCTATAATCACATGTTAAACATTTAATTTATGCAGGAGCAAATCCGAGTTTCTTCATCATTTCCAGTCATTTACACTCAACTTACCAATTGTTTTTTCAATAGGGTGAAAACAGATAGGTTTGGTGATTGACATTTCAAATTATATGAATTTTGGACTTAATTTCTGATGAGCATGATTTTATCATATTATGGAGACTTCATTTTTTAGCTACTGTTTGCACCTATTATTTGTTCCTGTTATTTCAGTGTTTCATAATAAATCCTGTTGCTTCGGACGTAATATCTGAATACATCTGCTAACTATGGTTTATGCTTTTTTTAAATATTATTATTATTATTATTTTTTTTTTGGTTATTGGTCAATGGTCATCTACAGATAAGATTATCAATGTTGTCTTATTCCTGCAGTTGGCACGCTTATTCCAAATGCTTGAAGGTCTTGGTACACAACTAGAGAAAGATGGGTTGCTGGAGAAGTACAAAAAACCTCAACTGAATGCTGCTTATATCAAGGACTGGTCCAGCCTGACCAAGAAATTTCTGAAAGCTCTTCCGTATTCCCTTACTTCTAGTCAACTAAGGGCTGTTTCAGAAATTATATGGGACCTCAAGCGACCTGTCCCTATGAATAGGCTTTTGCAGGTATATAATTACGATACTGCTGTTCCTTAATGCCATCATAAAATGAAATCCCAGTTACCGGGAACTCAGGAAAGAGGGAAATAAAAGTGAAATGGCTGGTTCGATACAAACTTAGAATAAAGGAAATGAAAGAAGACATTTACATGAGGATTTGATATCCCTATTGGATGCACATTTGGTGACAAGGCCAATTCAAGGCATGAGCTTTAAAGCATTTTTTCATGCATTAGAAGAAAAATAAATTATAATTATCTTAATTAATAAAAACCTAGTCTTCTATCCAAAAAAAAATTAAAAAAAATAAAAATGAAAGAAATATAATCTTACACTAGCATTGAGCTGAAATTGTAATTCTGGTGACTTGTTTGGAATGTCCTGCTTTTACTGATATGCAAATGCTTCTTTTTCAGGGTGATGTTGGATGTGGAAAAACTGTGGTAGCTTTTTTAGCTTGCATGGAGGTTATTGGCTCTGGTTATCAGGTTGGTCATTGTAAATTTCTTATGCCATTCTACATATAATTTCAATAGCGTCTATTTTTCAGCATGGTAGCATTCATTGCCTTAACTCTCCTCTCTCTCTCTCTCTCTCTCTCTCTCTGTATGATTTAAAGAACAGTGCTGGGCTTGCAGTGGTTTACAACATTTACGATTTTGTAATGTATTAGTAGTTTTTATGTAGTTCAATTATGGTAAGATCCTTTGCCTCTATTGCAGGCAGCTTTTATGGTTCCAACCGAGTTGCTTGCTATCCAGCATTATGAGCACTTTCTTAATTTGCTGGAGAATATGGAGCAGGACACTTGTAAGCCTTCTATTGCTTTACTAACAGGTTCAACCCCACTAAAGCAATCCCGCATGATTCGTAAGGTATACATTGTTGTCCAGTATATTTGTTTGATGTTTATAATAATTTTTTCAGATTCTTATTATTGGGCTCATGAGTTGGGTTGACAGGATCTCCAATCGGGAGATATCTCTTTGGTCATTGGAACTCATAGTTTGATAGCTGAAAGTGTTGAGTTTCGTGCTTTACGCCTAGCCGTTGTAGATGAGCAACAGCGCTTTGGTGTTATCCAGAGAGGAAGATTTAACAGTAAGGTGGTCTGAATTTTTTGTATTGGACAACTTTTTTCTATTATTCTGTGAAAATATCTAATGAACTATATGATTTCATTGGACAATTTTACTTTGTTTGGATGATTAGCCTTTGCTGATGCATCATAGTTGTCTTAAAGCTGAGTTATCATTTCTCTTCCAAAATTTTTATGTCTTAAGCATTAAGTTGTGCATTTGTAACTTTTCTTTTTTTTAATCTGAATTATTGTTGTTGTTTCTCAAACAATAAGTAACCTATACTCTATGCTCTGAAAATTTGAAAAATTTCACTAATAGGAGCCCTTTGCCAGATTTCACATTTCCAATTGTCTAGTTAATGGCATGGGTTTGATAGTTTTCAAAGTTTTCCCTAAATGACTTATCTTGATAGGGAAATTTCATATCATTGGGCCTTTTAGTACAATCAAATAGAAAGCCACATGGTACCATGTACTACAAGCCCATACTATTCTTCTCTTCTATCTGTTGTGGGTCAAGAACCACTCATTCCTCTTATTCAAATGTATTTAATGGAGAAATCTCTATTTACTGATAGAAAAAGATTCATTTTACATCATATATATAAGGGATCCTGGTTCAGGTCATAGAACCAATGTCACTTGGTCATTATTAAACTGGCTGTAATAGCATATTAACTAGGAAACTTGACTAAAAGTTTTCTACCTATAGCTAAAAGAACTGTAAGGAGAAAAGTATTCAAGAAAGTGAATTGATTCATAATTTCTTAGATGTATTCTATCTTAGTAACTGAACCTTTCGGGAGTCCATTAATTGATGAGTATGCACATTTTCCTGTCTTCTATTGTATATGTTGGTATCCTGTCCTAAGCTCTACACAAAAGAACCAACTATCACCAATATGTTGAGTTTGGCGAGGACTTAAAACAACGATTTCCATCTCCATCGTCGTATAAGCAATGATTTTCTAATTCAGTCTTGTATTTAATTCTTGCTAGGATGGGAAATAGCAATTTAGTTTTCTTAATTCTTGCTCGGATGGGAAATAGCAATTTAGTTTTCTTAACTTTTCGGATGCATAACTATGCCAATAAGTTATCATTCTGTCATTACAATTTCCAGTGAGAATATAAAGAAAACGGAATAATCTGAAACTCCTGAGTCCTGACATCATCATATGTTCTTGCATTGTTGTTTCTGGTATTGAACCCTTTCCTTATTTGTGAATTTCATGACAATAGTTTCTCCTAGATTTTTACATTAATCAACATCTCAATGTTTCTATGATTTTGCAAAATCGTCAACTCTAACCTAAGGTTCTGAGTTTCCACTAATAAAATTAGATTTTAACTGATTTTAGAAAAACAAGACCATGAGCTTTTAATCTTGGAGGAAATGCTGCCATATTTTCAGCCTAGCACAGTTATCAATTTATGTTTAATTTATGCTCAGAAAGTGTTTGTCATTCCTGTACTGAAAGTGATTTATCCATTGGTAATATTCAGTCCATATTATTGTCCTCTCTATCCTGGAGTATAATATTGTTAAATGAGTTGATTGAGATGCCTAAATCTTGCAGTTATATAATACCTCTACAAGTTCAAGAGCAGAAACAGAAAATTCAGATGGGTCCTCAAAAGGTGATGGGCATATGGCCCCTCATGTTCTTGCCATGTCAGCCACTCCTATCCCGAGGACACTTGCTCTTGCCTTATATGGTGATATGTCCCTAACACAAGTAAGGGGACTTTGCTATTTTGTGTTTGGAAATCTCTGTAGTTCATATCATATCCAAATGGCTTATGGACTCCAATATACTGTATGTTTATTGTTAACAAGTTTCCGGATACCTTCTAATATATTGTTGATAAAATGAATTTTAGGTAATTGGCTGCCGAACTTTTTGGTAGCATGAGCTAAGTTATTTAACCTGGAGATGTAACATTTCCTAGAACTGAATTGAAGCATTTTATCAGAAAGGGATGTCCTGGTTAAACTCAATTTTTTAACCTGAAATCATTATGTAGTATGCTAATGCTAAAAATTCCATATTAAGAGAGGATGTGTCTGACAAAATTCCTAATAAAGATAATACATGAGCAGATTTGATAGAGTTTGACATTTTTGAGACTAAAGCTCCTTCTAGCTGTGGGTTAAGTTTGTTGCCTTTCTTCTTGAATAAAATTGACTGCAAATCTGATTTTTGGACCCTATAAGTTCTTACTTTTTGCCTTCTAAGGGACCTTATTTGGTTTCTGTAATGACAGATAACTGACTTACCTCCTGGAAGAAAACCAGTTAAAACCTACATTATTGAAGGGAATGATAATGGCTTTGAGGACGTCTACAAGGTAATGGTCTTATCTCATTGTATCCTATCTACATATTAGTGGAGATTGAGTGGGTGTTTTTGTTTCCATTTTCTTGTTGCTGTTATTTTACCCCTTTGGCCTCTCTTGTGTGCTTTCCTTTTACTTGCAGGGTGCCCATTTTCTATATATTTGAGATTATTGATTACCTTGAAAAACCCTATATAAAATCCAACTTACATCTCTTTATTTCTTTGAAGAAGGGTGCTAACTGTTACATACTATCTCCAAGAACATTGCCAGAGGAAATAATCTAGAGATAGAGGCTTAGATGTTTATGTACTTATTTACCTTTTTGGTTACGTAGTTATGGAAGTATGTCTTTATATCTTCATTTCTGTAGTTGAAGGATTTATTTTTGTTGATTTGAAGATCTTCTGGTGATTTAATTGTTTCAATTAATGATAGAGCCGTGACTTCCTTTTTCTTGTTTGAATTATTATCTGAATCTGTAGATATTACGTGTGACAGATGATGCTTGATGAATTAGAATCAGGAGGAAAAGTGTATCTGGTGTATCCAGTAATTGAACAATCTGAGCAATTGCCTCTACTTCGTGCTGCTTCTGCAGACCTTGGAACTATATCAGCCAGGTTTAAGAATTTCAGCTGCGGATTGTTACATGGGAGAATGAAGAGTGATGAAAAAGATGAAGCATTAAGACGGTTTAGATCTGGAGAAACACATATTCTGCTTTCTACTCAAGTAATTGAAATAGGTGTTGATGTTCCAGATGCATCTATGATGGTTGTTATGAATGCTGAGAGATTTGGAATGGCTCAGTTACACCAACTTAGAGGACGAGTTGGACGTGGAGAGAGGGAATCTAAATGCATATTAGTTGCATCTAGCACTAATAGCCTAAACCGGCTGAACGTGCTGGAGAAGTCTTCAGATGGATTTTACTTGGCAAATATGGATCTTCTTCTGCGTGGACCTGGTGACTTGCTTGGCAAAAAACAGTCGGGACACCTTCCAGAATTTCCTATTGCAAGATTGGAAATTGATGGGAATATTTTACAAGATGCGCATTTAGCTGCCCTGGTAAATATTATCCTTCTCAGCCTCGTAATTTGGCTTTTTTGTTTTAACTTTTACTTCTCAGTAAATAGATGTCACTTCTTATATAGTATCTGATTGCCTGCTATTTTTAAGTAAATAGACGTGGTTTCTTATATGAATTGAGATATTCTCATTAGCCTAAGTGGCTGAAGGTTCTAAAAGTTCCTTTTAGAGGAAGTTTAGATGAAAAAAGTTACAGAATTGGATGTAGGACTAAAGCTATTCACGATTCAAAATGAGGAAGCTTTGAACTAGGGCCAAACAGTCCACCCTTTAGTTGTACTCTATTCTGCTCAGTTAGCAATCTCCACTGAGTGGTGTTTAATCAATCTGAAAAAGCTCTATTCCTATGGTTCCCATACCTTAAGCAAGCATAACCGCTTTTTTATTTTATTTTACACGTATAACAACTACAGTTTGCACATGGTTTATGAAATCAATCTGCAATGATCTTTTAATGAGATTATTCCCCATTCCACTTTACGATAATGCTGCTTTCCACCAGCTGAAGGAGCCACATTAAATAGTAGTGTCTGGAATTAAGAATCTTAGTACATTAAAGCACTTCAAAGAAAGATATTGCTCTCAAGCTTTTGCTGTTGGAAACTTCCAAGAATCTAATCAACTTTAATGAATATTAAAGGGAGACCGAGAAGAGCGAGAAAAGCCAGAGAGAATTCCAGGGAGAAATAATTCTATTTTGTATTTCGTACAATTCTTGGGATCTCTTTTCACCATTCAAGGTCATTCATTAAATTCAGGTTCATCCATTGATAATGCTCTATGTCTTGCTGGGAAGCCTGATACGCAACTCATGTTGTCTTGTGTCCATTCCATATCTGTTAGTTCAAATAATATTTCATCGATGCTTGGATTTATGATTTTAACAATGAATTGTTTTGTTCATACGCAGAAAATTTTGAGTGATTCAAATGATCTAGAGCGATTTCCAGCACTTAAAGCAGAGCTTAGCATGCGACAGCCACTGTCTCTTTTTGGTGATTGAAGTAGAGCTCTAACAGAGCCCAAAGTTTATATCGTCCAGACAATAATTATTCAAAACAAGAGCATTTCATGCCACAGCATCTTGCCCAGTTTTTGTGCAGTTAAATTCATAATATCTTTTGGTAGTTGTAATTCTGTTCATAATGTAATGCTTATGGTTTTAAAATTCCATTTATCAACTTTCTAGTGATAAGCCCCAAAACTTCAATGTTGTATTTTCTTTGTCCATTATATATATTTGAAATTTTAACTATAGGGAAGTTCCCTAACATTCAAACTATTTATAATTTTTTTTTTTTTAAGTAATCGGGTTGTTTGAGTCAATTTGCGCGTACTTTAACTAATCTCCAAGGTTTATTGAACACCTTACAAGCTCAAAGGATCAGGTAAGTCACAATGTTATTGTAGTAAGTGACCCTAAGGTTTAAACACAGGAACTCAAGAAAATGAGCAAACCTCTTTAATCGTCAGGCCAATCCTTTGGGGTTAATTATTTATAATTTTAACGAGATTCAGTTACGTTATTGGATAATATTACCTCGCAATTGGACCATGATTGATGGTCTAATTTGGAGTAAAACTACTCTAATATTGTAATAAAATCTCACAATTGCAAGCAACATTGTCCTAGTATTGTAATAAAATTGATTACATCCGTTGAAAGCGCCCTTTTGTCTTGAGTTCGAGTTGTATTCCAGAGTGGCTAATTACCATATATATATTACCGACTATGACTTTATTAAAGAATGAAATTAGATACCAAACTTCACCACTTATGTTACATCCTATAAAAAGTTTCTCTCTCTAACATCATATGGTATTTGATTTATAGATAAAATAAACCCTAAAAGTGAACACAACAACAAAATAGTGGCAACCCTTTTGCATGGTACAAATCAAAATCATTAATCAATAGAAATCAAATCAAATCACATAATCTAACCCAATCTAATCTCCTCAGTAATTAAAAAATCTTATCACTTAATTATAATCCCCAATTGGAATGAATAGAAATACACACAAAATCAAACAAATGGGGTCCCCATGTAATCCACTAAAGTTACAAAACATGGCATGATCCATGGACCATCCAATCAAAATTAAAAGACAAACCGACAAGTGGGTCCGGACCCGGTTCCCTACCCAATCATAAAAAATGGGGTCCCTTGAGTCTCCATGTTCATGAGTTGTCTCACCCAAACCCTAACCCTAATGATGAACAAAGGGTTTTGCCACACTTGGACAAAAGCAAAAAAAAAAAAAAAATTGAAAAGAGAAGACCTTTTTTCTCTCTTCTTTTTGCCATGTATTTTCTCAATAGTTTTTCTTTGCTCCCCACTCCTTGAAAAGTTGTGTCTAGTTCCTGTGGTTACATGATCTGACATTTCACCAGCATTTGTACAATTTTTACTGCACATTTTTTTAAGCTTTTTGTTGCCCAATATAATATGTTTGTGATTTGTGATGTTCATCTTCTAGTAGGATGAATGTGTCATCACTCTTGAGGGCGTGATCTGGGTTCCAATCATATGATCCCACGTGGGTCTGTCAGATTTTGGATGGGGATTAGATTTCTTTGGTCATATCATAGATATGGGTTTGTGTTTAGTTTAATTAAACTATTAAGGTAGCTTAATTCTGTCTGAACGTCGGGTCATACAATAGATAGTTAAGGGTATGACTATTTTTATTAACAATTAAAAAAAAGGATTTAATTCAAAAATTTTTAGATAATATATCTAAAAATATTTATTGCACCACCCATAAATAATTATAAGAAAATTAAATAACATTAAAGATTTCAGCAGCATAAGAAGAAAACTCTTATACATTATCATATTGTTGCGGTCAACGTTTGATCTCAAAGACATGAAAAATGTTTATGGAAAGTTTGGGCTTTTATTATCTGATAAATAATCAAATCTATACAAAAGCTGTTGATATTCTATATTTTCTTCAGGATATCTTCATGTAAAACCATTTAATCGTGATATGGTCCAAATAGACTGCAACTAAATTGACTGTCATTGTACATATCAGTACTTTAGATTTTGGGTATCTTTCTTAGATTTTAGATATCTTTCTTAGATACAGTACTAATTGGCCGTCATGCAAAATGTCTAAGACCTTAACCATTGGAATGAATTATCTAAAAGTCTTGTATTCGAGACTTAGTAGTAACTACCAATTATATTTGTGATTTATAAAATGTTTAATGTATTCTCAAAATTAAACCTTTTGAGCTTGTAGAGTGTTTAGTGGGTCATAGGAATTAAACCCTAGTCATAAAAAAAATTAGCAATAAAATATATTTGTGGTTTACCTGATCTATTGAGTTTGTAGGGTGTTCAGTGAGTCTCAGGACTAAACAATTGGCATAAAGAAAATTAGCAATAAAATTTGGAAAATTAAATGTTTGGTCTACTAATTAAATTATAAGAATTTTACATAGAATCTAGAATAATAATTCAATAATAAAAGAAGAATTATGAATAACATTGAAAGAAATAGTTGGCTTTACTTCATTTGTGGGTTCTTAGACATACCCACCCACTAATTATTATTTTTTTCTTCTAAATATCATTCATTTGTAGCCCACACATATACTTTTATACCTTATAAGATTTTTTTTTTGGCATGTCAAATCAATAAATCACTAATTTGATTGTCAAAGATTTAATTTCAATGACCAAATGAGCTTGTGGGTATTAAGATTGTGGTTGCTAGCTAGATCTCACTCTCATCATGTATAAAATCAAACCACAAACAATTTGAGCCTTTTTTTTTTTTTTTTTTATAATTACTCTTTAATATTAACCACTTATTTTCTTTTGGGCATAAAATTATTCTCTATCATAATCAAAATCTTTTAGGTAAGAATATATAAATCCCACAACTTATGATTAATGGATAATAATTAAAAATAAAATAAAAAAACTATATATTGGTCACACAACATGATACTATACATCATAATTAAGACTTGGTGAATTTTAGATTACCAAATTCATTGTAATAACAAATTCCATTCTTGATGATTAAAGAAAAGTGGTCCATAATATAAATTATTATAAAGTACATAAAGTTAGGAAGAGCAAGGGGGGGATCTATTGATATATATTATATATAATGAATCATGACTGGGGTTTTATTATTATAATTATAATATAAAGAATTTGATAGTCATGATGTCATGATTTAACAAGTTTATTGTATTGTATTGTATGGTAGTCATAATTTTTAGTGACTTTCAATAACTTTTTTTAGGTTTTGTCTAATAAGTTTTAGTTGAATAAGATCTTGATAGAAATCATTGATACCCAAGAAAGGTTTTTTTTTTGATTAATTTTATATTTGTTTTGTTTTTAACTTTTGACTATTGATAGGTAAAAGTTGGTGATTTTAAAGATAAGTTAAAGTTATGCACATCTTAATCTTTGTATTTAAGAACATATATACGCCCATTGGAGTTAGTTATACTAAGGAGGCTTGTATTTGAGTCACGGGAGAAGTAATTATGCGGTTTACCCAAAAACAAAGAAAGATATTAAGAGAAAAAAATTGTTAAAATTAAAAAAAAAAAAATATTCTATAAGAAGGAAGATTCCAAGAATCATAAAGAAACATCTTTCTAATTTATATTATAGCCAAATTAAGATTGGATAAAGTATTAACAGTTGTATTAAGTAACTTGAAAAAAAAAAAAAAAAGTTGAGAACAAATAATTTATTGCTATTTTTATATGGATAAATTTTATATATGAATAATTCATTGAATAAGTTGTTTTAGGTTTACATATTTGGAGAAAGTTTTAATATTTGAGTTTTTCTCATTATTATTATTTTTATTTAGCTTATTTAAGTGTTGAAATATTTGAGTTTTTATTTTATTTTTAAACGGTAAAACCCTTTTTAGGTAATTTATGATATTTTTTTTATTTTTTACAATTTTAACCAAACAATTAATTAATTTCTTTGTAAAAATTCTATAATTGTAAGATCTACTATGATATGCTCTACTTGAAAGAATCTACCAAACAGACAATTGTTATTTTAAATAACTGTTTCTAACTCATTTTTTTAAGCTCGTTAAATTACATTAACCAAATCAATGGCCAAGAATTTATATTATGAATTTATGTCATGATCTTGTATTATAATAATCTTATTATTATAAAATTCATTTGAAAAGGTTTTGATATATAGTTTTTAAAATCATTAATTTGCATCAATTTGATTTTTAACAATGATTTATTATTATTATTGAGATTCATGAATTATAAATTAGGATATATATACAAGTTGAAATAAAAAAAATATTCTTGGTGCAAGAGTTACTTTTACTAATTAATTTGCATGTTTTTTGTGCCAAATCAAATTTCTTGGAAGTGAAAACATGCCATTGGATGCATAGAAAATTAAAAAAAAAAGTATAAATTAATTGAAACAAATTCAAAGAAAGAGTTGTTGGAATTTGGAAAGGGAGCAATCAGAATCCACACTAATAATGTAAAAATTTATTAATGATTAATTATTAATTAATAGACTGAAAAGCACTTTAATTAATTAATTTGTTTGTTGTACAAACAACCAAAATGCTTTTGTGTTAATTAAATTCATGTTACTTTTTTTTCCATCAAATAAATTTACTCTTCAATAATGTCAGCATAAATTATACTGAAAAGCTCTTTGTTTTTGGCAACAACCAAAATACTTTTGTGTTAAATTCATGATACTTTTCATCAGAAATTATTAATTACTCTTCAAAATAATAAATAAAAATTAAAAGCCAGATGATGACCCATTTAGGTTTAGCAAACTTCATTAATGTTTCTGAAAAGTATTTATTATGTTTGGAAATTACATTAAATGTGTTTGTAAGTGAGTTAATAATTAATTAATGTTTTTTTAATTACTTATAATGAAATTAATATTTCTAAGTACCAAAGGTTTATTTATTTTCTCCTTATTTAGTATTAAATTCATTTACTTGACTTTCTCCCATAAATAAAAAGTGTATCATGCCTAAATTTAACTCGAGTATACCGTGGTGGAGAAATTGACTTGAGAAGAAAAGAGGGATTTTAGTTGTAAAATATCTAACGAAACCATTATTAGAACTAATATCTCAATATTCAAAGAGAAAAATATCAAACATTTGAAATTTCTTTTGACTTTGAGGTACTCACTAAATCGTAGACGTTGTAGAAGCATATCATGTGC